GGCTTTGCATACATCAGAACAAATCATCATGAGGAGCGGGAAAATTGAACAACAACTCTGAGACGTGATTAGCACATTCATTGGCGGGAACAGGCTGGGCGGGGGTGATTGGTCACTCCTAAGCGGGGTACACATTCAAACTGATTGGTTCGGGCCCTGTGACAAACTGCACAGGGCCCTGGGCTAAATGGCCAGTAGGGCGTTGTTTTAACTATCTCAGGAATTTCAGGTTCTGGGTATAACAGAGGAACTTAATAATACCTAATCTTTTACATTTTAATTCAAGCTTTCCAGCTTAGAAACTTTACCCTTTCACTATAACCACTTTGGACCTGACATTCACCAAGTTCTTCCGTACTTGAGAGTGGCACAATCTTTTTTGCAGTGAGTTATCTCTGAGTTATTTCTGTGATGTGTGGAGTGCAATGAGGTAGGAAACAACAAATGACAAAAAAGAGAGCTGAGAGGCAATAGTTGTGACAGACAATAATATTAACACATGTGGCACTGGTTTTTGTTTTTGTTTTTGTTTTTGCGGGGGTGCCAGGGATTGAACTCAGGGCCACTCTACCACTGAGCCTCATTCCCAGCCTTCATTTTATTTTTATTTAGAGACAGGGTCTCACTGAGTTGCTTAGCACCCGATTTTTGCTGAGGTTGGCTTTGAATTCACTATCCTCATGCCTCAGCCTCCCAAGCCACTGGGATTACAGGCGTGGACCACCATGCCAGGCTTCATGTGACACTTGTGACAATCGCCAGAATACTTTGAAATTTCAAGCTTGAATCATTTCACAATTGTTAAAGCATTACCTTGGAGTCCCTCATCTTCCCTTAATACCTTTTCCACCCTGGTCCATACTGCTCTCATTTAAGGTTATATAGAAAGATGAATAAATTGCATCTACCAGAACTTCCCTTGGGGGATAAAATATTATATAAATTATATGCATTCCTCAAGTTGTACATTATCTCTCTAAACTTCTTCATCCTATAAATCTGCTACTTTATATCCTCTGACTTACTTCTCTCCATTGATTCCCAGATCTCCCCACCCCTGGTAACCAATATCTCTGATATTTCACTTCTCTCCCCACTTCACTACCACCACCCCAGATGTCCCACATAAATGAGATCCTTTCTTGGACTTATTTCACTTTGCATAGTGTCCTTCAGTTTCATCCACATTGTGGCAAATGGAAAGATCTTTTTGAGCCTGAACAATATTCCATTGTACATATTTGCTACAGTTTCTTGATTTGTTTATGTCAATGGACACTTAAGATTGTAACATACTTTGGTGATTGTGAATTATGCTGCAAGGAACATGGGAACCTACATATCTTTACAAGGTGCTGCTTTCATTTCCTTTGGCTGTGTGTCCAGAATAGGAATGTTATGACATAAGATAGTTCTATTTTTAATTTCTTTAGGAACATTCATCTGTTTTCCCTAATGCCTACAGCAATCTATATTCTCATCAGCAATGTACTAGGGTTCCCTCCTCTCCACGCCCCTTTTTATGGTGTTTGTTTATTTTGGTACTGGGGATTGAACCTGGAGGTGGTTTACCACTGAGTCACATCCCCATCATCAGCTTCTTATAGCTCCCATGGCATTTTAGAATAATAGTCAACTACACCACAGATGATCTGGCCTTGGCTCTTTCCAACCTCATTTCCCACTATACAACTGTTGTTCACTCCTTTCCTGCCGCAGTCTTGTCTGGCCCAGAATCACGAGCCACCACACACCTTGTAGATTCAAACAGCAATTCTTTATTTCCGAACTCACACCGGCCTTTACAAACACGTTCTGGGGAAATCCCAGATCTGCCGCCAATTCACGTCCCAAAAACTTTCTCAATTCCACGAGAATCAACGGGAACTCAGGCAGCAGGAAAGCCCTATTCCCAGCAGCAATAAACTTAAACCTGGAACTTCCCTAAAACCAGATTTTCTTAAACCGGGAACGCCTTAAACTTGTCTTAAACCGGGAATGCCCTAAACCCAAGGAGTGGGATACTTCCTCAAACCTGCAGGATACACCTTAAACCTGGATCCACCCTTATCCTTGAGCAGGGTCACCTTTTTCAAACACACTTGCAAGGTCACAGCAAATTTCCAAGGCAAGTCCATTTAACATGGGGTACACTGGCAAGGAAATTTCGATGCATAATTCCTACATGGCAATGGCCCTCAGCACTTTCCTACATGATCTTGCTATTTGTAAATGGAAGCCATATAGCTCTCATCACAGTGCCTTTACACTGCTGCACCTCTGCCTGGGACTCTCTCCCCTCCTTTCATTCATACTTCAGTTCAAAAGTCCTCTCGTCAAATAGGCTTCTTTTTAAACCCCATACAGAAGACCATTCCCATCATCTCTATTCTAAATGGTTTTTATTCTTTATGAAATTATGCAGTAAATTTCTTTACTTGTATGCTTCTTGAAGATGGGTTGCTTACTATATTGTTCATTGTTGTATTCATAGCATGTTGCCAGTAGTATAAAAAAAATCTATCTTTGTTGAGAATGAATAAAGAAATCCTGGCAATTAGTAAATCAAGGAAGAGACTCAGAAATCATATGCCAAGGCAGATTCTATTCCATCTAGGTGTGACTGACCCTGGGATCCAAGCCACCCAAGAGTTACTGGGTTCAGCACAAGCTGGGGGAAATAGAGGGGTTTGCAATTCACCATTAGTTCTTTCCTTACATTTTCATACCTGAAGATGGGTAATATCATGTGACCACAGTTATGAAGCTATGAAGAATTCAGTCAAAACAGATCACATAATCCAAGGTTAGGTTAGGGTCTTAAAAAGTCCAAACACAGGGCCAGGCAAGGTGACGCAGGCCTGTAATCCCAGCAGCTCAGGAGGCTGAGGCAGGAAGATTGCAAGTTCAAAGCCAGCCTCAGCAACTTAGCAAGGCACTTAGCAACTCAGCAAGACCCTCTCTCTAAATAAAATATATAAAAGGGCTGGGGATGTGGCTCAGTGGTTGAGCACCCCTGGGTTCAATCCTCAGTACCAAAAAAGAAAAAAAGTCCAAACACAGAAAATCAGAATTACTATCCCCTCCCTTTTTCAGTTTAAAATTTCCCACTATACCAAATATCACTCATTGACACACTATTTTAAGCTCTCTTTGTCCTTGTGTGCCTCATAGAGATAACCAGCTTGTCAGTTTCCTTCATGGGTACTTTTAAATGCATTGAAAAATCATAAAAATTACCAAACATTTCATTTGCTTAATATAACCTCTGAAGGTTTTGATAGGAAATGCTATAGTTCTCTTGTTTTTATGTGAAAGTAATGATAGTGATTTTTGCCATTGACCAAACTCAGATTGGTCCTGCATTACCTATAAAAATGTCAGCTCAAGATTGCCCCCTAGAGTACATTAACCAGAGTGCTGTGACAGTAATGCTGAACTATAAAGTTCACTATTTCTGCATTGGGCTTTTCTGGGGAAATGTCACTTTCTATATTATATGCTTCTGCATTATTTTAAAATTTGTGTCAAATCTCTCTCTCTCTCTATCTCTCTCTCTCTCTCTCTCTCTCTCTCGCTCTCACTCTCTCGCTCTCTCTTTCACAGTACTGGGTATTGAACCCAGAGTCTCGTACATGTAAGGCAAGTGCTGTGTTATTGCGAGACAAGGTCTTAGATTCTGTTTTAGTTAACTTTTTCACCTCTGTGAACAAAAGGCCTGACAATAACAATTTTAGAGAAGGAATTTTATTTGGCACTCATGATTTTAGAGGTCTCAGATCATAATAACTGACTTGGTGGCTCTGGGCCTGAAGTGAGGCAGAACACCATGGCAGAAAGATGTGGAGGAAGAAAGCAAGTCAGGACATAGCCATCAAAGACCAGAGAGCTTTGCTCACCAGGGACAAAATATATACAAAAAAATGCACACCCCCAATCACCTACTTCCTCGTCACACCCTAAAAACCTACAATTACCACCCAGCTAATCTTCATTAGTGCATTAATGCACTGATTAGGTTTAGGCTCTCATAACCCAATCATTTCACAACTGAACTTTCCTGCATTAAATCACATATGAATTTTTGGAGAACACCTCCTATCTAAAACATAATGTTTGCCTATGTTCTCCTCATATTTGCAATCCTGTTTCAGCCTCCCAAGTAACTGGAATTACAGGCATGTGCCATGGTACCCAGCTAAGTACATCTTTTAAAACAAACAAACAAACAAAAAATACCATTTTGAAGTGGGAAATGATAACTGGAAATACAATTTTTCATTCAGAGAGTAAAATATGACAGCATCTTGCCTAAAATAGGCAGAATTAATTCAAGTTTTAGAGCTTGGTTTGTTTATAGTCACACCCTCAAACTATGTATCGATCCACTATTAATATAATTAGCACCTTTTGGGTTTGGTAAGTGCAAAATGATTAAGATTTGGTCCCTGCCACTAAGATTTCACAGCCTAGATGGGAAGACAGACATTTTAGGAAATCATTACACTATATGATAAAACCTACATGACGCACATTGTAATCCAGGAGAGAACTTAAACATACAAGAACATTTTTATTCAGATAAGAAAAGATGAAGGGAAGAAAGAAAGGCAAGAGGAGGAAAGTTTCAGGTAAAATAAACTTTACTTA